TTTTTTTATATATAAAAACAACTACTTATGACACATGTTTAGGCTGTTTTAAAATCCTAAAAATGTGGTAAGTATATTTGTTTTCAGAAAAAAAACTTTGAAGTCAGCAAGGAATTGCGTATTTTTTTTAAAATGCCAAATTTTCGAATATTTTATAATATTGTAGGAGCCAAAAAACGTGGTGTGGTTTAAAAAAAACTGGGGTGCTCTGCTGGATTCGTTTGAAGCTAACAAAGCATCCCGTAATTTTTTATTTTATAATACTCAATAGCCTTAAATGAGACATAGCTGTTTAAACAAAAAATTGTACTTTTAAAATTAGCAGTTTTTTTCGAAAAGCTCTATAATATTTCAAAAATGTGAAAATGTGGTGAGATTGTTTTTTTTTAAGTTTTGAAAATCCGAGGTTCTTTACTGGATCGTTCAGAGCTAGTAAAGCTCTGCTCGTCTTGTTACATACAATAAGGCATTTTGTAGCTGGTTATATAGTTATTTTGTAACTGCATATCTAACCCTTTTATTTTTTTCAGGTGGTTGTAAACATGTGGCTTCATAGAAGAAGTGAGGAACCATATGTAACATATACTCAGTGTTATTGGAAAGGCTCTAATTTATCAAAATGCGTAAATATTGATGTACACTTGGCTAGATTGTTAAAGAAACCTCTTCATCCACTACAGGAAAATAAATCAGTACTTTTATATTCTTAGGATTTGTATATATATTTTTTATTTGTAAATAAATTGTTTTTTACTTTACTAAATTTATTTTTCTCATTTTTTTATTAAAATGTTAATAAATAAAATTTTCACAGATTTTTATATTTTTGTTTGTAAACAATAATTGAAGAGTTTTTATTAAAAATCACCAATGTTAATAATAATAACTTAAGTCAATATTATTCTTTCTCCTTTTTTAAAGCTACTATCAATAAAGGTATTACTTTAGCTTGACCTACGATCAATTTTTAATTTTGTGATATATTTGGTTTGACAGAAAAACCCTTTGACATTGGTTGCTTTTACTTAGATTTTCATAAAAAATAAACGGAACTACAAACATGTTTTACTATCGTAATAACGAATAGCAACATTAAATTTTTTTTCACATTTATCACTGTTGTTATTTTCGTAAAGGATTGATAAGAAGGCACACTTTCTGGTTTTTTAAAAAAGGTGGCAAGAATTGTGATATTTTTAAATTTATCACCAGTGATACCACATGTAGTTATCTGATTTATTGGAATATATAGACTTTGCTACCACATTCAACTAAACTTGGTTGTTTTTAATATTTATCACTGTGACATAGGCGTTTTTGTTCAAATGTTTCATTTTAAACTGCTGTAATAGATGCCTTTGGTTTGGTAGTTTTAGTCCCAAAAAAATCTATGCATATACAGGTACTCATTCCTCTTTGATATGCTCGAAAAGTTAAAATTTTATAAAAAAATTACATTGGCTGTTTAAAAACCCTTCATTATAATCTCTGAAATGTGATAATTAGGTAAATTAAATTAAAAAACAAATAAAAAAAGTTTATTAAATTAATATTTACTCTTACAAAATAGGTTCTTGTAAGTTAACAAACAATTATGCAGATATTACTAAGTAAATGTACTTGCTTAAAATTCACACAGGAATGTGGTTTTAACATGTTAAATTAACTAACCCTTCTTATAACTCTGTGATACACTAGGTGGCTTTACTAAAGTGCATCCCATGTTTTTAAGTAATGGCTGAATATTCTTAAACCCTCTATCTGCCATTATATGGGATCGATGAACCAGTTTGTTTAAATACACGGAAAAAAATGTGACTAGAAAATTTTACTACAATGTTGTAGTAGTAGACTTGTAGAAAAATACTTAACAATTTGTAGAAAATTTTACTACAATTTATAGTTAAAAACTATTAATTATTGTAGCAATTGAATTGTCGAATAAAATGCTACAACAATAGGAAAGAAGTCCACAATGTTTAGTATATTTTACTATTCTTTGTAGAAGTAGAAATTTATTACAATTATCGTAATTACTACTACTAACTTCTGTAAAAATTTGTACAAATATTAATAATTATCTCTACAAAAAATAGTAATTTTCTCTACAAAAAATAGTAATTTTCTCTACAAAAAATAGTAATACTTTACATCCCTTCTTCAAAAATATTCTATAATATTGTAGAAATTCTAAGTCATGTGAACAAAACAGAATTCTGCTATTGGCCAAGGTTTTCTAATGTCGATCATAAACGGCCAGACAGCAGTAGCCATTCGCCATGTTCACATAACAAAGCATGGTACATATACGAGTACCTATAACACATTATTATATTATAAGCACCGATGCGTTTGAGAAAATTTTAATAATAAATTCTATTGGTGGTAAGTACATTTATTATTGTTTCTGAATAATTTACCTTTAGATAACTAATTTAAATAACCTTAGTAGATTATTTTAAAAAAATAGTTGTGACCAACGATCGAATGTTGTGCCCAACGATCGAATTTTGTGCCAAGTTCAATGTTGTTTTTTGTCTTAATTGTGACATACCTACTTTCTCATTTTTGTTAGTTATCTGACTTAGTCATTTAATATCCAAATCAGTGTAAAGGTGATAAATATCCCCGTTTTAAGGGTATGAACAATTCAATTGGTATTAATTTTTATTTCATATTTTTCAGGTGCAGAAAAGCCAACTGAGACTGAGGGCGCTATTATTACTGTTATTTATTACATAATGTAATTAAGAATTTGTATCTTTTATATTAAAACAATAAATTGAATATTTTATTAAGTAACATTTTTTTCTAGGTTATAATTATAATAATTATGGAATACTACTACAAATTTTATTAAAAATTACTACAATTTGTATGAATTTTTACTATTTATTGTGTAAAATTTTCGTATTTATTTTCATAAAGCGCAATACATTTTTAATATAAATTCATACAATGAATAGCAAAAATTATAACAATTTGTAGAACAATTCTTATGATGCATATGGATTTTTTTACTAAATATTGTAAATAATAACTCTACAATACATTCTCCACAAATATTTGGAAATTTTTACTACAAATTGTCCCTGTCCCTATATGTACTATTTATTGTAGAGAAAAAATCTACAATTGTAGAAATTTGTTCTACAATTTTTTTTCCGTGTACCCACATTTTTCTATTATTTCTTTATCACTAATTCTTCCAGAAAATGAATAAATTCGCTATCTTCAAAACTTTCAGGAGATTCTGGATTTTCTTCCAGAATGGTTTTTAGGTTATACACCTAAGAATTTATAGTAGCCTCATTTTGAATTTCCTGAAGGGGACAATTAGCAGAAATTGCTGCTACATCTTATGTTAAGAAATTGCTGCTATATCTTATGTTGAAAATGGGATGTTAATACACTGCGACCTAAAAGATCTATTGTGCCCCCTTCTATCGCCAATGCACAAAGGAAATGTCTCAATGCCTATAACGACCCTTCCAATCCTATATCTTGAATATCCGGTGTATTTTTATTAAAAAGTTGACGAGAATCATCGCTAGTAAAAGGTTGATTTTCATCTTTCCAAATTTCTAGGATCACTAGTAAATATTTGTGAAGATGAATGTGAATCATTATCAAATTCTGGAACAAAACACTTTTTCGTAGTCTTAATATTTATAAAAAGTACAAAATTAAACACGTTTTAGTTTTTCTATGTTAAACACTCAAATTCAAAATAAATTCTTGATTGAGACACTATGACAGATGACATACAGTGCTGCCGTTTTGCCATTTTCTGAATTATTAAGTGACTTTTAAAACAAAGAAACTTTAAATATGGTAAATATTTAATCAGAAATAATATTTTCAAAAAACATTTGATATTATATATTTAAAAGATATTTTTTTAACGATGTTTAAGAAGTCTAAAAGTAAGAAGGAGTACACAAACGAACGTACATCACTTCTCGTAAACCTTCTAACCGGCAACGTTGTGGCGCTAGCTCCTATTGGTCTATTCCCGGCGACGTCATAAATTTTAAAAAATTCATAACTCCGCCAAATGAATAGATAAAAAAAAAAATAAAAAAAATGTAGTTTTATTTTCAACTCTATTATTCATAAAAAAAAATTAAAAATTTTTGAACATGCCCCATTACAAATGTCACCGGAACCTGTGATTACTTTTGGCTTAAAGCTGCCTTTTTTATGCAGATAATTATGAAAAAAATTAAAGAAATGACATTTGATTTTGATAATTCATCTAAGGGAATATCTAATACAAAGAAATTGTTTCAAAATCACATATTACCAAAGCAATTAGTGTTTTTAAAAAATTATGCATTTGTACCCAAAATTATATTAGATTTAGAACAAAAAAATTTACCTTTGGCGACTTCCGTAAATTTAATTAAGACGTTTGAATCAGAGTGTAAAAATATCCAGGGCGATATTGGAAAGACGATTTTTCATAAATTTTCAAATGTAATTTTAAAAAAATGAGGGATTTATTGTTTTAAGAAACCTTGCTAATACTTATTCTGGTAACTTTGAAGATATTAATACTATTCATCCAGATATTTCAGGAAAATTTAAGTTTGCACCTATTACTTCTGTAGATGTCGAAAGGAGTTTTTCTTTGTACAAGTACATACTTACTGATAGGAGACAATCATTTAATACAGATAATTTAGAAAAACATCTAATTGTTCATTCGTTTTATAATAATGTTGATTTGTAAATAAAATTAGTTAATAATTGAATAATTATTAAGTATTATATTGAGTATTGTAAAATATAATAAATATTAATAAACTATTTCGATCAAATAACAAATTACTCTTATTGCATATGCTCTGCATATTTTTCAATTTTTTACGCATATATTGAAGTATTTTGCGGCATATATATGCGCATATTTAACTACTTTTTGGGTGCATATATTCCTAGGTCTATATCACAGTTATTTATTTATTGTTTCTCTTTTATTCTCTTTTATTTTGCAGATAATTTATCTCATAAGAGACCCAAAAGATACCTGCGTCTCTCTTTATTACCATTGCAAGCTGCTACACGGATTTAATGTAGAATTTGATACGTTCTGTGACCTCTTTATTAATGGTGCTGTTATTTATGGAGATCTTTTGGACCACTATCTAGAATTTTGGAACAGACGACATCAAGAAAATATTCTCATTTTAAGATACGAAGATATGAAAGAAGATACAAAAAAAGCCATAAAAACAGTCGCTAAATTTATTGAAAAAGATGTTACTGAAGAAGAAGTTGAAATTTTGAACAATTATATACAATTTCCGAAAATGAAAGAAAATAAATCTTGTAATTGTGAAATACTATTGGATAAAAAAGGTGGAAAGGAATATTTCGAAAAAGTCGGTTGTCATTTTATAAGAAAAGGTGAAATAGGCGATTGGAAGAATCATATGTCGTTGGAAATTATTCAAAAATTTGATGAATGGATAGATCGAAAAACCAAAGGGAGTGGTTTAAGTTTTTAAAATTTGATGGTATAAGTTTGTAAGTTTTTAAATAAATCTTTTGGTGTTTTCATTTATTTCTATAAATATATTTTCAGAAAGTAATATATTTATATACTTAAGGAAAAATTTAACTAAAACTTTAAAATTTTTAACTAGAATAGGTAAAAAAGTTTTAGAAACGCCATGTTACTCTTCTAGATAAAAATAAATTTCATCGCAGCTGTTGAAATGGTCAATAGAGAAGTTGTTCTAGATTTCTTTAGTGTTAAATATACATGACATAACATTAATGTTCTATGAATTGTGGTATTGACAAGGTCCATTATGGCATTTTCGGTATTTGATTTTTTATGAACCCAAATTGTCTTTCTTTTTTTGTTTAACTTTTATTGTTTGTGTTGAGGATGAAATGTATTGGTAAAATTTATTAATAAAAATATTATAACAGTGTTGTGGATTTATTAAAGTATAAAGACGTTCCTAATTTTCCGATGTTAGTTATGTGTTTAATTTAATTGTAGTCTATTTTACAAAATACTTTATCATTGAAACTACTGTTTTGTTTAGGTTGCTTTATATTAAAATTTATTTTATAATTTTTAAATATTATTAAATACTTTATTTTTTATTTAAATTTAATTAAATAGGCACTGAAAGCAATTTTAGAGTTAAAAATAAGCGTAATATACATCTTTAATAATCAATAATATTTTAAATTAAGTAGTTTAAAAAAAGAGTACTAGAATACACATATATTCTTGAAAATAAGAATTTAATAAACTATAGGTAGTTTGCTTCATTAATTTCCCTTTTCCAAGGCAACCATTTCTTGTTAATAAAAGAATTAAAAAAATGTATTTCCTATATATATTGCGTTTTATTTAATCGTTACCGAAAGTCAAGGTTTCCCTAACAAAAACTGTAATTTAAAAATATATATATAAACCAATGAAGTGTTAAAATCCACATTCTTCGTTAAATTACATAAAAATTATGACAGCAATCCCAAGTGACCAAGAACTTGATATTATTTTAAAGAAAGATTTTACGAATGTGTTTAGATCGGGATATTTTCAAGTTAAAGGTGTAACAATGCCAAGAAGATTTGAAGAAATGCAAGATGATATTTTAAAATGGGATGTGAGAGAACAAGATGTGTGGATTTGCAGCTTTCCAAAGACAGGTAGGTGAAATAACGAAAAGCGTTAGGTAGGTACTTATATTCTAGAATAACTTAATTTCACGTTTTGAATAATAATTAGACGGAGCAATAAAATAAAATTTATCCAACAACTTACCATTATAGAACTAGAAATATATAGAAAAAAAAATTAGTAATATAAACATGTTTACATAGTCGCCAGTACACATAAATGGTAAAATACACCACATTTTACATACATTAACATACAGCATACTCGTATAAAATTTAAAATAAAATAGGATTTTAAAAGATCATGGTTGTAATAGTAATAAAAAATATATAAAAAAAATGAAATATTAAAAATATTAGGTGACATGTTTCACTCTTACGAAATAATCGTTAGTGTTATATAGACACATGTCCAGTAATATCTTTTTAATTTGATGTTTAAACTTTTTTCCTGTTAGATTACGGATGTGGGGCGGAAGTGCATTATAGAATGAAATGCCTATTGTTCGGGACTTGTTTATTCTAGTTCTCGTTTGGATTAGCTGATTTTTCCCTCTGGTATCGTATGTATGATGGTCTGAGTTACACGTGAAGTTTTCCAAATTATTTTTTATGGCTAGCAAGTTTTCAAATAATATTTGCGAAAACAGGGTCATTATGCTAAGTTGTTTGAATAGTTGTCGGCATGGTTCATAATAATTTATCCGCAGAATAGAACGAACTGTTAATTTTTGCAAGATAAAAAGTCTTTGTAGTGAAGTTAGAATCCCATATGTTGATTTGGAATGGAACAAGCCATAATAAATAGTTATTGCTGCTTCTGTAATAACTACATTTAATTAACTACGTAGAACAAACGTGAATTTTGCCAACTTGTTGCATAAGTTATTTATTTGATCAAAAAATTTTCAAATACTCAGTCATCTCCTTTTTTGTGGCATGGTAGAACTTTGGACGTTTTAAAAATATCTGGAAAGGTACCTTCAGCTAAACAACAGTTTATCAATTCAGTAATAGGAACAAGAATATTTTGGGCGCAGTTTTTTAATAAATAGGTATTGATTTCATATATGTCTTGAGTTCTTTTTGATATTAATGTTTTGTTTATATCTGTGGTGTCAGATTCAGTAAAAGGTGCTAAGAAAAGTGATTGATGTTTTTGGTTGTAACAAGTTAAGTCAATTTTATTTTTATTGTTATTGAGAATGCTTTCTACTATATCAGATGAATGATTTACAAAATATTTATTAAAGGTTTCTATATCGATTTCAGATTCTACTTTATTTTTATTATTACGTCCTGTTTCATTATTTATTATTTGCCATACAGTTTTAGATTTACTGTCTGAATTATTTATTTTGTTATTTTGTTTTGTATTTTTTAGCAATATATTATATTTAGTTTTCTCTTGTTTATATAATTTTTTATTGTAGTCGGTTGGTTTATTTTTAATGACGTTCTGTAAAAATGAGATTAGTTCTTTTTGTCTTTTTATTTCATCTGTATTCATATAACTTAAGTTTTTATTACATTTTCTTTTAGGTTGGGATATATTTCTAATTGAGGCATTAGAATGTTTCATAAATGTATCATGAAATGCTTCAGATTTTTTATTTGCATTGGTTGCTTTTCTCATGTCATGCCAGGTTTCATTTTGCAAAATATTATCAAGATTATTTATATTATTTTGAGAGAAGGAACTTAAATTGGTGATATCTCCTAATATAGAGCGCTCATGAGTTAGAAAAGATAATAATTGAGGGTTATGGTCTGACTCTGTAGTTGTTAATACGCGTGTCTGAGCAAAAGGAAAGTTAGCAAATATGTTATCTGGACATGTTTGAGAGCTCTCTGTAATACGAGTATGTGTAAATATTGTTTGTTCAAAATTAAACTGAAGTAACAAGTCGGTGAGTTCTCTTATTCTGCTATTGTGTTCTAAAACTTTTACATTAAAATCACCACATATAATGATTCTACTATTTTTGTGTTTAGCTTTTAATAGTAATAAGACATTTGTTAAAATTGTAGGAAATATTTCAAAATTAGGATAATGTGAATTAGACGTATATATAACAATGAGTACCAGATTAACAGGTTAAGTGCCGTGAAAAGCCAACGTGGACTCTCGTATAAAAGTGACATACAAATAAATATCATTCTTTGACCAATACAACTGCAAAGATGGGAAGTAGCATAATCACATCCAGATAACTATACCAAGGAATCGTTTCAGTTCTGTGATATTAGTGTTGTACCACGTGTTAATACGTGCGCTTTTTTTCTTGACACTGCAGGGCGTAACGATTAGTCTCTTCGACCTACAAATTCACAAAAATCAAAATCGACAGAAATAAAATAAAGGTAGATACGTACCATCATGGATAAAAGGTCATCGTCTACAAAATATTCGTAAAATTCAAAGGCAGATTTGTTGTAGAAATTCTTGAATTGAATCCTGCAGAATCTTTGTCTTCAAATGTGAATTTCTGTAAATTTTTGCTGTTGACAGGTCCCCAAATAATTGCTTCATTCGTTGCATTGGAACGTTTTCTTCTACAATTTCCTCTTCGAAATCTTTAGAATATTGGGCAGTGACGGATTTGATAGCTTCATCTAAATGTTCCCCGAAATTCGCCTGTTCTTTACTGGTGGACGGCACAGCTTGTCCTACAGATTTGGTATTTCCGGTCGCAATTTTTTTTCTTCTTCGGTTCCGTTCGGGAGCACTCGATTCGTCCGAAAGATACGTGTCTCCATACAAAGACTCATCCGAATCCTCTCCCGACAGCAACTCTTGTCAATATTTCTCAAGCTTCTCTTGTTCTTTCTCGTACGACTGCATTGTACCGCTCTAATGTGCATACTGACAAGAAACAACCGCACGCGCGGTGCGCGCCACATGGCGAGACAAGAACCGACAAGTCAAGGCGCGACGACACGTTGAACTCACGAAGGCATCTCGTGCTAAAAGTCTTGCTGGTAGCCGTGAAACTCTAAATAAATTTTTCGGCCAAAAGTCGCACATGAGGGCGTAAGAGTTTCATTTGAAGTTGCAGAGTAGAAATTCTATTTGATAAGAAAAAGTGATCGGCCTATGAGGACGTTAAAATTATCACTATGGCGGCACTTAACCTGTTAAGCTTTTTAATAAATGCCTCAGTTATTTCACAGTGGATTTCTTTTGACATATTCTTAATTTTTGGAACCTCAGCGCTTTGTAAAAGGTTGTGAATATATATATATATTTACCCCACCATGGATATGTGTTTCTCTACAAAAAGTAGTTACGTTATTAAAATTTGTAAGATTGAAACACGTCTATTCTCCAGTTGAGAGAATGATCATTTCATGCGAACTGGACAGCCGTTCTCCTAAAAAGTGTGTGAGTGGTATTCTTGAATTGAAGTGATTGATCACTTCGCATGAAAATCGAGAGAACATACTTCTCTTAGTCAAAACCAGTAGAAGAGCATCATTTCGGGAGAACACTGGGAGAACTGTCATTGTCGTGCGCTATCAAAACGTCACTTTTTTTAATTAAAATGGATTTGGACGAAGCTCTTATTTATACTCATATTTTGAATGATCTAGCTGAAGCGGAAGAAGATGCCAATCGACCAAATAGAATTTTTTTAAGAAAAGAGGATCTTTTTGACTTTAGTGACGGAATATTCACAACAAATGTTCGTCTAACTAAACCTTTGGCACGGGATTTAATAGAAAATAAAGGAAAATATAATCTGTTATTACAATTGTCAAAAAATAATAAAAAATTGAAGTAAAGTGCCTTCTAAAATAGTTCTAACGCACAACTTAAATTTGAGATGTGAATGATTCAAGAATACAGAATACGATTACCGAGAGAACAAATTGGTGATAGGA